TAGCTTCCTGTCTGGTCCAGGTGTTCTGCTCCTTCCTGTTAGCTTCCTGTTAGCTTCCTGTCTGGTCCAGGTGTTCTGCTCCTTCCTGTTAGCTTCCTGTTAGCTTCCTGTCTGGTCCAGGTGTTCTGCTCCTTCCTTTTGGCTCCTGGCTGCAGAACTGTTCTGGTGGATTTGGATCTCTGTGGTTTCCTTGCCTCTCTGTGGATCACAGAGGGAGATTTAAGGCTCCTCAGTTCACAGTTGAAGTAATTATCTTAATTAGGAGGAAGCAGAAGCGTGAGGGAGGCAGGAGAGCAGCCTGCCACTTAGACCAACATCAATTAAAGCAAATTAAAAGCCTGACGAATGAGTCTGGGTCAGTGCTGGAACCAGAACCTGAGACCCTCCAGCAGCAAGACCTCAATCGCTCAGATCAGCTGTTCTGTGCTTCCTGCAGCCTGCTCCCCAGGGTCCTACGGCCTGCGCTGCAGCCAGCCGTGTCCTCAGTGCGTCCACAGCGACGCGCCCTGCCATCACGTCACCGGGCGCTGCGACTGCCTCAGCGGATTCTTCGGCTCCCTCTGCAACCAAGGTCAGTCCTCCGCTTCATCCCGCAAACCGGACTCACCGCTTCACAAAAGAACCCCAAACAACATCTGACCATTAACCACATATGATTAATCAATTAATCTGATGATTAATCTGATATTGAAATATTCTTCATCTTTAAACGTGAGCGTCGTCTCAGCTCAGCGTCTTTCTGCCGGACGCTGCGTCCTGAAGCGTTTTCAAACCACCAGAGGAAAATCTGCTCTGAAAACCTCCAACCTTTTTATGTCTGTCATGAAAATCTGGTTTCAATCAGCAGCAACTAAACAAATCTGCTGGATTCAATGCATGCAGAATCTAACGTGTTTATCATCATAAATTTATTATGAACAGAATTTTGATTTGCCGTTGTCATGATAAATTCTAACTGATGACGTTTAAAACCCTCAAACTGTCCGTTCTGTTGGAATTGTTAGTTTCACCGTTTCAATGCATTAGAAAACGTGATTAAATGCAGTAACTGTGTGCAGCCACACAGGAATAAGAAGTAACAAATCATTATCGTATCATTATTGCTGCAGGAGGAACCGGTGCACTTCATGAAACAGATGGAATCATGAGTGTAATCTTAAAATAATCTTAGAAACAGATCATTTCAGTCCTAAGCCAATTGCCTGAGAGTCTTTGGTAGATTGCTAATCCTGATTCAGCTGCCTTACAGTCCTGGGTTGTTCCTATGAATCGGACTCAGACAAAATGCTACATTTCTCAGTTATGTACAGGAATGAACAGAGGCAGAAACGTTTGTCCCTGATGTTGGATCCATCTTGTTTCTGTGACTTTCAGATCATTTATTCAGGTAAAATAATCCAAACAGATCAAACTCCACATCCGCTCCCCAACTCCTCTGGCCTCTGGAAATGAGTCTGTGGAGGAACTTTGTGTTTTAAAACACAGTGGAGGGTTTTACAGCATAAATGTTTGTTCTTTGACTAGGCCAATCAAAAACCCATATTTTGTATGTTTGACTGATTCAGAGGTGGATTTCCTGTCGCGTGTTTTGGATCATCATTCAACTTTTACTAGAAAATCATGAAAGCCCCATAAAAAGCAGCCAGTTTTTTGATTTATGTTTTTAATCCGAGTTTTTGTGTTTTGGAGACAAAAGGGCAGAAAGTGGAAAAAGTGTTTTTATTTCTCCAGAAAGCAGAAAAGTCTCGTCTCCAGCTTGTTTGGTAGAAACGAACTTCCCGATGCTCCGGGATGTAATATTCCTCTTTTATATTCAGTTACACTAATAAAATATTGAGACACAGATACTGTGGAGTCTGACGAGCCTGATGATAAATTCATGCGCTCTGGGCCTTTTTTTGATTATTGCCAATTAACATGAGCAGCTCACAGCAGCGGCTGCGGTCTGCGGCTTATTAAAGGAAACAGGACGAAGACCCCGCTCCTCCTCATCACCACTGCAGAACAGATGTTCAACATCAGCAGCGAATTTATAGCAAAATACATTTTTACAGGTTTAATTTTGTTGCACATTTCAGCAACATGAAAACGTCATAAACGCGTCACGCAGCCAACAGTTTGAAACCAGAAACTTTAAATTCACCATCAAAATGTTGGTCAGGATCCATTTATTGAAAAGCTTTGATTTAAAGGAACTGCTTCTCCATGTTTGGTTCTGGTTCTGTTGATGCAGACCAGAACCAGAACCAGAGGACCAGGGAGGTCCAGACGGTTCATCCAACAGCAGCAGATCTTTAACGTTCTGAGCTGATGGAAGGCCGACTTTGTAACCGTCTTCATGTGGCTCTGAAGGTCCAAACCCATAATTTTATCCTGACTTCTGGTTTCCAGCTGTAAGACCTGAAACTCTAGATCTATGACTCTAGATCTATGACTCTAGGTCTATAACTCTAGATTTATAAATCTAGATCTATAACTGTAGATCTATAAATCTAGATGATATTATCGTTTTTAGAAATAACTTCTGGTCTAATTTATCATACAGCATTTGTTATGGTGACAGGCCTGTTTGAGTGTGACCTTTGACCTCTGCTCTGCGGCCTGCAGAGTGACGGTTTCTGACGCTGTCCCGGTTCTGGTTCTGCCTGACCCGGCTGCCGGTGAACAGGAAGTGTAAGCGGCGGTTAGGATGTCATCAGCAGCGCTAATGAATTCCCTCCTCAGCAGCTGCGACGCTAAACTCTGAATCAAAGCTCATTCGGCACCAGCAGTGTGATCAGGAGCCGGTAATTAACCGGAGCGGCGCCGCTCTCCAGCGGCCTCCTTAGCTCACTGTGAACTGGGTTTGCATCACCGCCAGACCCAGAGGTTCTGCACAGGAAGCCGATCCGGAGGAACCAGGTTGAGGTTCTGCTGTGGTTGGCAGCAGGAAGGCGGCTTCAAACCCACCTGAACCCAACGCCTGCTGATGAGTCCGGCGGTTCCACCCACAGCTGCATCACCTTCATCACCTTCATCACCTTCATCACCTTCACGCTCTGACTCTGATACGAAGCTGCTTCCGTTCACTGAACCAGGAACGGCTTTCTTCCCACAGACAGACGTTCCAGCTGATTACTGAGTGAACGCAGAAAGCAGGTTTGCTTTGCGTCTCAAAGCTGTTTGGTTATAAAGAAGTGAAACGATAAATCCAGATTCCTGAAGGGTTTGGGGATCCCTCAGGGCTCAGCACCGGGTTCACTTTATATCCTGCACTGTCTTTATTCCTCGCTGGCCGACACTGAGAATCTGAAGGTAAATGAGGGTCACATTTTGTTATAATCATGTTTGTTTCTCTTTTTACCAGCATAAAGTCTGATTTCTGTAGAGAGGGGAGCTGTAAATCATGTTGGACACCCTCAGGTTTGCCTTGGTTTAAAAGACAAAAACTGTAAACCATGTTTGAAAACAGGTTTGTTTTTTTGTTTTTTTGACTGGATTTCTGTGTTTATTCTCAGCAACAAGGACAAGAGTCCGCTTTTATAGTCAATGAAGCAAAAAATACTTTTATTGTTATATTGTTTTCTTTTTGCTAATATTAGTTTTAGTTTGTGAGGCGAGAGCCACAAAGAAACCACTTCCTGGACCACAGGTGGCCCCCGGGCCGCACTTTGGACACCCCTGCTTTCCAGATTCTGTTTAAAAATGTGGAGAAAATTCATATGAAATGAAATTAATCCTGTTTTGGTGGAAATTATTCTAATAATCATGATTAGAGTTTAAAGTGTGAAACTGAGATGATTGAGAACATAAAGCTCAAAGATTTATGGTGTAAAACTTTTAATTTTAAATTATTAAGAAACAGTTAATAAAGATTCCCACCTGGATCTTCAATTTTTTCGTGATAAAATCTTAAGAAATGCAGAATAAACCATTAAAAGTATAATAATAATAATAATAACTGGAGACCTTCTGGAACACAAAGTCATCCAATTAAAAATGTGACAACACATAAAAGTTACTTTTACAGAATAATTGGTGAATTCATTCAGTTAAAGTTTAAAAATGGCTCCATTTAATTCACATTAAAACTTTTTAACTTTATAATGTTTTTAAATCCAACATCTGAGACTCCTACTTCAGTTTGATCAAATAATAAACACAGGCCCTAAAAAGCTGAATGTCGATTTTCTGTCTGGATTTACTTAACAAAATCAGAACCTGATAGAAATCAGATGAATGAATAACTAAATGTGAATGGAAACGCTCCTTAAGGCAGTTTAGAGGGACCAGTCAAAGCCCTCTTGCTGCAAGGCGTCGGTGCTAAATGCCGCTGCGTTCAGCCTGACCCCTGAAATTCTGCTAAAGTTTTTTATTTTAAAGTGTCTCCTCATTTCGAGCATCATTGTGGTGTTTTGCTCAGAGGCTTTGCTCTGCTGTGTCTCCAGTGTGTCCCAGTGGGAAGTTCGGCAAGGCCTGCGCCGAGGCCTGCGCCTGCACCAACAACGGCACCTGCAACCCGCTGGACGGCTCCTGCCAGTGCTACCCCGGCTGGATCGGAGACGACTGCTCCAAACGTAAGACGGACACCACTCAGGGTCCCTTTGGCGTAGTCAAAGTCCCAGAGACAAACACAGACTAACAGATGTTACCCAGGTTCTTGTTCTCTGACATCGTTTTAGCAGCTCTTGAGTTTCACAGGTCAGAGTTAGACACCAGCCAAACGTTGACTGATGAACTTCAGTTAGCGTTTGGATGTTTTCCCTCCTGATAGTCCAGTCGACTCGGTTCAGTTTCAGACCAAAATGGCAACATTTCTTCCATTTTTAGCTGCTGCGATTTTCTTTCCCAACCTGTTCCCTTCCTGGCCTGTGGGGGCGCTGCACCAAGAACCACTGAAAGAAACGACACAAAAACCTCTGAAGACACTGAGAGCAACTTCCTTCTTCACCAGATGGAAACAAGATGGAGGCGTCAGATTTTAGCGGTTGGAGGATTTCTCTTTAGTCTTTGGCTGAAGACCAGGAGCCATTTCTGCTGCTAGCGCTAGGCTAGCACGTTAGCTTTGGTTGTATTTACCCAGAATGCCCTGCACTGTAGTTCACTTCCTGCTTTTGGAGCGGTCTCCGGTCCATTTGGTGTTCACATATGCATTCAAACCGAACCAGAATTCACTTCAGATCAAGGTCAGGAGGACCAGAGGTCAGAGGTCGATTAGTATTCACACCTCACCAACCGAATCCGAGTTTCTGGACAAACAGATTAGAGTCGTGTGAAAGCAGATTAAACACGGCTGGTGTGAACGCTCCCTCAAGCTCTGCGGTTTCTCTGGCAGCGTGTCCTGCAGGGTCCTGGGGTCCAGACTGCCTCCACCTGTGCAACTGTCACAACGGAGCCGAGTGCAGCGCCGCGGACGGAGAGTGTTCCTGCAGCCCCGGGTGGACCGGACTCTACTGCACGCAGCGTACGCCATACACACACACACACACGCACACACACACACACACACACACGCACACACACACATACAGATTGAGCCCAACATCTGCACAGCTGCTCTGCTCCAGCTAGCTGGAACAACATCACCATCTAGTGGCAGATTATTAAACTGCAGCAATGATCACAGGAACATAGAAAAGTTACTGATGTTCTAATTTAAGGTGTTTAAAAATAAATTATTCAAACTTTTAAAACCTCTCTTTGGAAGGAGATTGGAGCTTCTAAAAGTATTCATACGCCTTAAACTTTTCACCCATGTTATTTTGTTCAAAACAATCATTTTTATTATATTTAATTGACACAAAACTTCATAACTCTGGCAGGACAATAAAATGTGGCTTTCAGCATTTATTGGGAATCTGAAAAGTGTGGCATGCTTTTGTTGTAAGCGCCATCTCCCTCGCAGGCTGCCCGTCGGGTTTCTACGGCGCTCAGTGTTCGGAGGTTTGCCGCTGCCAGAACGGCGCCGACTGCGACCACATCAGCGGCCATTGTTCCTGCAGGACGGGCTTCATCGGGCCCAGCTGTGAGCTCAGTGAGTCTCCGCCGCCTGGCGTCTTCCTCAGCGTTTCTGGACGCGTGTGAGACGTGGACTCCTGTCTTCCAGAGTGTCCGTCAGGGACGTTTGGTTACGGCTGCCAGCAGCTCTGCGAGTGCATGAACAACGCCACGTGCGACTACGTGACGGGAACCTGCTACTGCAGCATCGGCTTTAAGGGCATCCGCTGCGACCAGGGTGAGGCTGCCGCTCGGCTTTTCTTCATTCCTAAAAACAAAACAAAAGATCAGCAGCTCAGTCCAAACGAGAAACCACAGAAAAATACATATTCTCATCATTTCATAGTTAATAAATACTGGAGACAAGATGTTCTCCATGTTATTGTTTACATCCAGCACTTTGTTGACAACTTGACAGCTAAAAACAATAAGATTTGGAGTTTGATCCACTTCCTCTAAAAAACCCTCCATCCCATAATGTCTGGAGAAGAACCTCATGCTTTATCTGTGAAGCACGGCGGTGGAGGAATGATGGTCCATAGGAGAAGCTCTGACCAAAAGTAAATCAGACAGTAAAAACAGCAGATCAAACAGGAAATGTTCCTTCAGAATAAAAGCGTGGAACCTTGACAGCTTCCTGTGTGTCCTCAGCCGCCCTGATGATGGAGGAGCTGAACCCGTACACCAAGATCAGCCCGGCGCTGGCGTCGGAGCGGCAGTCGGCCGGCGCCGTGCTGGGCATCGTCTTCCTGCTGCTGCTCATCATGGCCATGCTGGTTCTGGTGGTCTGGTTCCGGTACCGGTACCGGCAGCGGGAGAAAGGCCAGCAGGCGCCCAGCGTCAGCTACACCCCTGCCCTGCACATTGGCTCCACCGACTACTCGCTGTCAGGTATGACGGATCAGAACCGGCTGGGGCTCACGCACGGCCAGAACCAAACAGAACCAAACAGAACCAAATGATGTGACTTCCTGGTGATTTCTCTGTTGTTTCAAGGTTATTTTAAGGTTGTTTTCTGGTTGTTTTAAGGTTCATGTGTGGTTATTGGTGATCAAACCTCCTGATCCGGATCTCATTTCTGGTTTTCCTTCCTGGAATCCGTCCAGAACCAGAAGGTTCTGGAGAGGTTCTAATGGGTCCAATAAATACTACTGTTAATAAATAATAAACATTTAATAAAATAAATAAATGTCCCCATGAAATAAAATAATACATTTAAAATATATATTTTAATGGGTAATTTACTTTACTACAGTTTATTTATTTTGGGATTTAATGATTAATTCAATATATGTATATTTATTTCATAATTCATTTATTTATTTAAAGATTTAATTGTTTTATTTTATGATTTATTGTTTTTTTTCTTTGTTTTTCCATCTTTTTGTATGCTGCCAGTATGTTTGAGATGCTTAACTTTTATTTTTTAATTCAGTTTTAATTTCATTCTCTTATATACAAAGGGGGGGGAGGATTCTTCTCTGGGGGGGCGGGGTCTTTTCAGGGGGAGGAGTCTTCTCTGGGGGGCGGGGTCTTTTCGGGGGGAGGAGTCTTCTCTGGGAGGAGTCTTCTCTGGGGGGGCGGGGTCTTTTCAGGGGGAGGAGTCTTCTCTGGGAGGGGCGGAGTCTGGTCAGAGTCAATTAAATACCACTTCAGCTCCCCAATTTAAAAAAGTAGATGTTTTTATATTTGATTTCATTTCATGGAGACATTTTTTATTTAATGGAATATTTATTAATCATTTATTAATAACAGTATTTATGTAACTTTAAGTGAAGCTCCATTTTTGTGTCATTTTATGATATGTGAAAAATGCTTCTAGTTCATAAACTCAGTGGATAATTCTGTAAGTTTTCATGGGATTGTTTGGAGGTAAAGCGCAGAGTGAGGTTGGATCAGGAGTCTGAGTCAGGCTGACGTGCAGCAGCTGCAGATGTTGGTGTTAATGTGAGGCGGCAGCAGGGCTGCAGTGTGCAGGCCTGCTCTCCTCTGCAGACTTGTCTCCCAGCAGCAGCTCCGCCGCCGGCTGCTTCTCCAACCCCAGCTACCACACGCTGGGGCCGTGCGGCTACGCCACGCACTACGCCAAGCCGGACAAGAAGAGCGCCGCCCAGGTGGGTGGAAGACAAAACGCTCAACACACAGATCAGAACAGCTCCATAAGGACAGACATCTTTATGGAGCTAAATTAGGGCCATAAAGTTTGTTCAAAACAAAAATAAATTGAAAATGAAAAAAGTAGTTTAGAAACTGAAAAATAAATTTGAAACTGAATAAAAAATTTGGAATTTAACAAATAAAACTTAAATTTCCAAAGTACTTTTGAAATATTTTTTTCTGTTTCACATTTTTCTTTCAGTTTCAAATATTTCTTTTCAGTTAAATTTTTTCTAGCTCAACCTCTGCGCTTGCTAACGTGTCGTCGGTTTCCTTCCCAGATGAAGCCGAAGAAGAGATTCAGGAACAGCGCTCCGGAGTGGGGCGCCTACTGCAACCTCACTGATCTGGGTCAGTTGGTTCTGCAGCCTATAGATCCGGACACAAACACAACCTGGAGTCCAGGAAAGTTAGGAAGGCCAAACGATCCAGCAGCATAAACGTCTCCCCTCTCTGAAGCTTTACTTGACAGTCAAAGGATTTTAGCTTCTTCCATTGAGTAAAAATATGAAGAAATCTTGAAAGAACAGGTCCAGAATAAAGTCAGAGGTCCCATCATTTATTCTATTCCTTTTGGAAAAACGATACCTTTAGTAACAGTTTTCCAGAGATGCTAATTATGAATATTAGCAAAGGTTAGTTCTGCTGTCAGGAAATTCTAAACCATCACTGTAATTACAGGAAGCTAATGCTAATGCTGAAGCGCTAAATTCAACCATGTTGAAACTCAACATGTGTCACCAGGGGAGCGTGGAGAGCCTCTTAGAATGGATGCTTGTTTAAACAAATGTTGAATCCAGTCAGCCTCCCTGTCTCTGGAGCGCCGCCCTGCTGGACGTCTTGGTCAATCTCCCCAGGACATTTATCTCTGGTTTTCTGCCGCGTCTCTCCTCAGGAGTTTACTGCATCGACCGGCGCCTCAGTTACCACCTGGAGCCGCCCTGCAGAGGTACGGCGTGGTGGGCACCGACCTCCTGACCTCTGACCTCTGACCTGCGGCTCCTTGTGTTTAATAATGTCCTGCATGTCCTGGTGACCTGCTGCACCTGAATGCTGCTGATTCACACCTGGTTTCCTGAACTTAACTGTGTCTCTACAGGAGAACTAATCCCTCTGTGTTTTATCTGCTCTTCTTCATTCCTGCTGGAAAAAAACTTTTCCAGCACCGCCGTGTTTCCTCCATCTTTCCTCCATGTTTCCTATATGTTTCCTCCGTGTTTCCTCCATCTTTCCTCCATGTTTCCTATA